GCAACCTAAGTGTCTAGAATCCTTTTTTAGAATGATAAGGGGGTTTATAGAGGATTTATTGGATTGTCACTAAAACTAAGAATGTGAAGTTCATAAAATAAAAGCTTGTGAGATTTAAAAGAGATAAAATATGAGTAAAGAAGACTAAGGAAGTGAATCTGCCTCCACCCCTATACACATGCTAGATTAGAACTAATGTAGGGGATAAACAGTATATAACGGTCAAGAATTATATAGCAACACATGGTTGTCATATAACTAACAAGAAGTACATTAAATCTCAAACGAGGAAAATCCATCAAAGGTGAATATATTTAGATTACCTAAACTAGAATGCAGCTTAAACATACTTACTTTAAATGAAAGATTCTCAAGTCCTTGATAAAATGATGAAGCACATGTAGCTAGGAATTAAGCATAAACCATCAAAGGAATTACCTAAGCAATGGACTATCAAAGTTCACTATCAACATGCCATTAAACCATTTCATAACCTTATTTCCATTGTCACCATGAAAACATAAGCAATATGATAATGTAAGACATAATATAAAACAAGATAATCAACTTAGAAAAACCATTCATATACATCAACATCTATTACAACAAATGAAGTGCTCTAGATCGTGAAGAGACCATAGATTATACATTGCAATCCCCAAAATAGAACTAAGCTAGAACATGCTTACAAGGGAGGGCTTCATCACCTCCCTAGAAGAAGAGTTAGTTAACCATGGATGCCCTAGAAGAAGGAAGAAGCTTGGAGGAAACTCCAATTTTTGAGCTCCACTTTTTAGCCACCAAAAACTCTCTCCTCTCCTTCCCCTCTCTCCTCTAATCTTCCAAGAAAAATCTAGATTTTCTCATGCAAGCTCCACTTCTCCTTTTTCTAGACAAGATGTCTACCAAACCCTCCAAAAACTGAGGCGACTGCTCCAAAAGAACAACTCCAACCAACTCATAAAAGAGGGAAATCAGAAATTGAGGGAATTAAGGCACAAGTGGGTCTGCAATGTTCCTTTGAGTGCTTAAAGGTTGCAGCACGAGCACTCGAAGGTGCCTTGGAACAAAAACTTGATGGCTCAAGAACATGGACGAGCTCTCAAAGAAGGGTCTTCGAGCACTCAAAGGTGCTTTGGACCATTCTGTCCTGATTTGGAGCACTCAAAGCTTCTCCGAGCGCTCAAAGGTGCATCAGTTTGCATTTTTGACTTCTTCTTCTTTATATTTCTCCCATATGGAATTAACATTGGCCCCTTTTTCTCTTTTGCATTGATGAAGGCTTCCTGGATCTCCTTTAGCATATTCTCCTCGGCAATCATCGGGTGCAATAGCCCGGAATGACCTGAGCTTTACAAAAAGCCTCAAAACTTCCATTTTATTTCCAATTTGGAATGCAACCTGAAAATTCATAGAAACACAGAACATGGAGGAAATCTATACATATAAACCATGAATGGACTCAACTAATGCAAATAAGGGCGCTTGAATATGCAATATTCAGTGCTTATCAGGTACATGTTCTGTATTTGAGGAACTTGTGGGGAAATATGTTTTGGGAATTCATCCTCAACATATCCCATGATTCTATCAATGTTGAAAGTATCCCATCATTTCACATAATGGCGGCAAACTGCAATGTGACCTTAGATATCAAATTGCCATTTGAATATCCATGGAACCTTATATTTGCAGGAAAATAGTAGGAGAATTTGGAACTGCGAATTGTACTTGTTAACTTTGTAAACTGTATAGAAGTATTTGACTTGATCAGCAAGGTTCAGGGGGAGGATTTCTGGAATGGAGCCGTGCTGTGACCACCATCGAAGAAACCAAGTAGGAATCTGACTTTTAAATTTATTATCAAAGTTGATAAACCAGGAATGAGTGAACGACTCATTTTGGTGTAACAAGATAATTGACCAAGAGGTAATGTAGTTATAATAACTAAAAGGAATTTCATGATCACGCAATGGTTAAACTAAAGAAGGATGACTTCCCCATTCTTCTATAGAAATGATTTTTTGGATGTATAGGGAATAGTAAATGACTTTGGTTGGATTATTGCGATCTGAGATGGACCTAATAGGAATGGATTCTGTATGATAGAGAACATCTCTATCATATCGTAGAGTTTTTTGTGTATGGCCGGGGCAGAAATGGAGGTTACTTGGAAAGTAGAATTAGGTTAATTCAAGTGGTTCCTTTATGTGACTAAGGTGTGGCTCAATGTAAAATAGAGGGACACCGGGTTTTTCATAATAATCAGTGGTTAACTTTTTTGGAATTAGTTGTAGGTTTTGACAGACTGGGGTTTTAACTTGGACCTGAAAGGGGTCTGGAGTAGGATTAACCAGGGCTGACTTGAAAGTGGATGGTTGTGTAAAGGGTTGAAACCTGTTGACTACAGTAAAGGTAGAAGAGGACTGTGGTTGGGCACATGAAGTGTTCCTAAGGCAAATATCAAATGGTTTAACTGGTTGATGCCTTGGGGGAGGCTGCCTATTTGCCATCAGATTTCTATGAGAATTCTCTGGTAAGAAAGTTTGGGATAGAATTGTCACTTCCTTTGATATATTCTATATCAAAATCAAATATACTTAAAATAGCTTGCCAACGGGCAAAAATCTGTTTAGAAGTAATATTTTTAACGTCTTTTTATAAAACATATTTTACACTTTGACAATCAACACGAACTAAAAACTTTTGATTTAAAATATCATCTTGAAATTTATTAATGCATAAAACAATAGATAATTTTTTTTTTTTTTTTAAATAGTACTATAGTTACTTTGTGCTTTTGTCTAAACACTAGAATGAAAGTGAACTAATTGTTTAGGTGCATTTGGAGGGACTTTTTGCTTGAGGATGCCACCATAGCCAATGTCTGAGGCATCCGTTTCAATAATTTTAAAAGAATCAGTAGTAGGAATACCAAGACAAGGCAAGAACTTGACATATTGTTTGATGGACTTGACTATATTAGTATGAATGGAAGTTCATGGAGAAGGATTACTTTGAAGTCGGTCAAAAAGGGGTTTACATTGCTTGTGGAGATTTTTGTAGAAATCAGCAATATAATTGAGAGATCCTAAGAAGCGTTGGAGTTGTGACTTTTCTAGTATTTCATCTGGGAGTTTATCAGCAAATTGAATGGACCTATCAATAGGACGAATCTGTCCTTGATGAATGTGATAACCTAAAAATTTGATATTAGTATGAAAAAGCTTGATTTTTGAATCAGAGACCACCAGACCATTTTTCTGATTAATGGCAAGAAACGTTTTTAAATGTTTCCAATGTTCATCAAGCGATTTAGAGAAAAGGAGGACGTCATCAATGTAAACTATAAAGAAGTGACTGTGAGGATTGAAAATATCATTCATGATATTTTGGAATTCACATGGAGCTTTTTTTAATCCAAAGGGCATGACTTTCCATTTATAATGACCAAAGGGAGTGGTAAAGGCAGTTTTATATCTATCTTTTTTTCTGAGATGGATTTGCCAAAATCCTGACTTCATATCGAACTTGGAAAAGATAACTGTTTGGCTTAGGCGACTAATAAGGTCTTTTTTGTTGGGAATGGGATACCTTATCCATTCTAAAACCTTATTCAGAGGTTTATAGTTTATAACTAGACGGGGAACACCTCTCTCTATTTTAGAGTTTTTTTGAACCTAAAAGGCTAGACATGACCAAGGTGACTTACTTTTTCTAATAATCTTTTTATGTAAAAGATCAAAAATTTCTTTTTTACAAAATTCAATTACTTCAGGACTCATTTGAATTGGTTGTGCTTTAGTAGGAATGTGTCTTCTTCAAAAGCCTTTAATGTAAGGTAATTTGGCTGAATAACATTTGTGGTGCCAGAAAGCGGTTGGGAGATCAGAACATACTTGGTTTTTAATTTGTTTTTCAAATTCTTGAATTTTTTGTTGCAGAGCTGGATTAGATAATTGTTCACCTATACGTTTATAATTAACTTCTTCTTTTAGGAATTGTAGTTGTTGAGTTTTATTATGGAGCAAATTTATGGTTTTGGATATAGAGGAATCAACTACTGATTTTAGTTCTTTCTTAGAGGTAGGACTCCGGAATCTAAATTGAACCTCTTGTTCGAAAGTTCGGGATACTAAACCTTTATTATCAGCTGTGAATGGATAAAGAAGGTAAATGAATGGGACGCCTAATATTAATTTGTCAGTCATATTTTTTACCAGAACAAAGGATGTTTTAAAACATACATTATTTTGACAAATCTGAGCTTTGGATAATTTATATTTTACATCCATTTTACTTCCATTAGCTGAGCTTAGCTTTTCCGAGGTTTTCTCATAATATTTGGTTGGTATGAGACCTTCTTGAAAACAATTAAGATCAACTCCTGTATCAATCAAAGCAATGACTTCAAGTTTGAAGTCTTTGTTGATGATAAGAGTAACTTTAGCATACCATTTTTGAAATGATATATTAGTTAAAGTTTGGAGTTTTTGAGAAGGTTCTAAATGGACTGAGTGACTAGAGCCTTCTTCATCAGATGAGTCTTTTCCCTTAAAGGAAAAAGCATGATTTGTGTTTAATTCAACAATATCATTTTTATTTCTTGATTTTCTATTTTCAGGTGTTTAATCTCTGCTTTGATGATGTTAATTTCTACTTGAAGGTCTTGGATGGTAACTTCTTTTGGTTGATTGTTGAATCTTTCTAGGGTTTTGTATAAACTAAAGTTAGGTTTGGTTACTTTTGGGGCTTCTGGTTCTTGTTTACCTAACAAAGACTTACGTTTTTTAAGATAGGTGGATTTTAATTCAAGGTCTTCTACTTTACTAATTAGGTCTATAAGTAAGTGCTCTTGTTCTTCAGTTTTTGTGATAACATTGAGTGATTTACAATAGCTATCCTTACATCCTATAGTAATATCTGGAGAGCTGGGAGAGTCATCCAGATGACTGAGAAAAAGAACTAATTTTTGGATTACTACTGCTGTAATCAGTATCTCATAATTGGAGTATTTGATAAAGAGATTCTTTACTGTCCTCAGAAATTTGTAATTGCCTAATTTTCTTTTTGGCATAATAATCTTTTGCAAAGTGGCCTAGTCTACCACATTTAAAACATTTAACTTTGCTGACATCTTTACTAGTGTCTTTGGTATCTTTTTTACTAGCATTATTCTTGCCAAACGTCCTTTTTGGTTTTCGTTTTTCTTTAGAATAATATTCTATTTTTGGGAATACTGTTTTTCTATTCTTGTAGTTCCTTCGATAACCTTTGTCACTTTTATAGGATTTCTTATGGGCGTTAGTCTTTTGTCGTGAAGGAGCAATGGGTGGAAGACCATACTGTTCACAGAAGGTGCCCATTTCATACTTGGCTCTTTTTCTATCATCATTTAATTGGTTACTAATTTTCATGTCAATGCACATTCTTAAGCCTTCTTTCTGGATTAAACTTATGATGTTACCATACGTGAGGTTGTCATAATCAATGAAACCTGTGGCTTTAATAAGGGTTTCTCTAATTTTGTGAGCAAAAAGATTGGGTAAACTATTAATGAATTTTTCTTTCCAAAATGGTTTATTACTATCATCCCTGATTATTACTCTAGACAAGAATACATCTTTGTACCACCGAAAGTCACTTATGGTTGGACAAGTGAGATTGGTGAGTTGATCATGTATTCTGGCAGTAATGTTACTTGGAGTTCCTATGAAGTGTTCAACTATGGTGTAAATAAGTGTATTGACGCCATCGGAAACACCACATCCTATAGTTCCATCAAAGATAGGAAGTCCATTGTTGTCTTTTTGGATAGCATTTTTGATTTTTTCACGAGAATTTCCAGTGAGGTGATTTTCCCACCAAGATTTTAACATACCCGTGAACCCCGAAGTAAGTAAATCAACAATATCTGGCTGACTAAGATCATGGGTGGTGACATAATTGTTAGCCACCATAGATATATGATTTAATTTGTTCAGAATTTCCTGTTCAGATAAACCATCTATATTCCATTCATAGAGTTTATCAGTATAGACAGAAAATTGATTTTGGATGTTTCATTCTTCATATTGAATATTTGGAGGAGTTGTTCTAGGGTACCAATTTTTTTGTGAGGCTAGTAGGGTTAACTCATTTATAGAAATACGATTGAGTTCGAAATTGGAGAAAACAATTTCAATGGCTTAAATTTCAGAGGTGTAATCAGAGGTGGAAAAGGAACTGTCAGAATCATCATTGTGGGTGATAACAGTGATAGTTTTTTCATCTTTAATTTTAGCTTTTCCTTTTTCAAGGGTTTAGAGTATGGTTTCAATCTGGAGAACAATAAAAGAGCCAGGCAAGGTGGCTGGATGTCCTTTTCTATGTGTAGGCATAGAAATGAGGGGTTTTTCAATAGGGAGAATAGTGGGTTTTTCATGTGGTATTGTGGGTTTGGTTAAGGAAAGTTCAATGTTATTAAGTTGAATACCAATGGTGTGTAAATACTGATTTGTAAAATTGTTTTGTTCAAATATTTTTATGGTATCTGGGTCCGTGGTGTTGCTGACTTTTAGGGGAGAAGCAGTGACTTCAGTTCCCATGTGATCGAGGATCACAGATTCTTATGGAGGATGGGAAGAAGAAACTGTTGTTGTGTCAGATTTTTTCCAGTTAACTTTTGTCAAGACATTGACTTTGTTATGATAATTTTCAAGATAATCAAAGAAATGAATTTGTATCTTGTGTTCTATCATGAAATGTTGCCATAAGCGAAGAATTTTATGTTGTTGTCTTTCAGTATGAGATTGTTAAAAATTTCTTCTTTCTTCTTTATTGTTAGGGGATGAGTATCCGTCATGTAATCTGGAGAGATCATACTTAAAAGGTTTACTGATGGTATTTAATTGTGGGTTAATGGTGTTGAGATTTCCAATAAAATCAGAAGGTATGGGAGAATTTGGTGTAGATTTAGATTTGGCAGTGTGTATATAACAAGGATGGTTCACTTGTTCTTCGATCTTAGGACCCTTTAACTTAACATCCTTGAATCGTGGATCAAGTTTTGAATTTTTTCTATCTAGAGGAGGAACTTCACTTTCTCTTTCTAATAAACCATGATCTGATCTATTGTATGAAGTGGAAGGACAAGAGCGAGTCAGAAGACATTGTTCATCGAAACTTATTCTGACTATTCCGTCAATAAATTCCTGAACTCTTTCAAGATTACTTATATCATTTTTTTATCTTAACCGGATGATTTTCATTGTGGAGAATCCATTCGTTGGGCAACGAAATGTCTTTCCAGGCAATTGTTTTCTTGATTTGAATATTAACATCAGGAGTACTACTTTCAATTAAAAGGGTATGGCCTTTTATGTCTTTCTTAATTGTCTGGACATTAAGATTGGTTTTGATTGTGTTGTAATAAATTATGTAAATCAAACCTAAGGGCTGAGATCCCAGAAGAATAAGGTAACCTGATGTTTGAATATTAAGGGTTAAAGCCTTTAATAAGTGAGGATCACTTAAACTAAGAGTCAAATCTGGATAACAATTGAAATGAACTAGGCCATTACAAAGACTTGTTTCCATAACTCCTAAGAGAGTAAGGTCGTAATCAAGGAACATAGCATTTCTAAGAGCTAGTAAGATGGAGGCATTAAGTCCTCTATTGGCGAATGGTTTGAGTGCTACCTGAATGAGACCTAGATGGATGAAATTGTATCTTTGATCTCTATGTCTTTAGATTGCCTTGGCTGTGAGTAATTGACATTTCTCATATTCTTTTGACAAAAAATAAATTTGCTCAACTGTTTTTACTGTGTAGTCACTAAGAAAAGTTGACTTGAGGAAACTTGCTTCATAAATTTCTCGATTTGGAATTCTTGGAATATTCCAATCTCGAAAATCTAAGTTGTTATCTTCAATGCGATATTCTTCTTCATTTATTATGTTTGGAATTGGAGGAGGTAGGCTAATTCTGGAACTAGAACTCAATGAAGAGGTAGATCTAAATAACCTATTCGTGATTGCTTAACTCATACTATTCTTATTCAGTTGGGTTGGAGAAAACAGACCTACAGTCATGATTCTCTCTCAAAATGGACATACTATTCTCATCTGCTCGTGCCGCACCTCTCAGGCCCTCCTTTGGGACTTACTGTTTGGATCTAGGACTTATTATTTGGATCTAGGACTTATTCTTCATGCTTTCCCCTTTACTAATCTTGTTCTATTGTTTCAGTTAAAATAGTCTGTTAGGTGATTCTTTTTTTCTTGTTCTGTATTTCCTTCCTGTAAGTCCAGATCCAAACAATAAGTCCAAGATCCAAACAGTAAGTCCCAAATGAGGGCCTGAGAGGTGCGGCATGAGCGGATGAGCGTGTGGATAGGATATAGATACCATTTTGAGAGAGAATCATGACTGTACGTTTGTTTTCTCCAACCCAACTGAATAAGAATAGTATGAGTTAAGCAATCATGAATAGGTTATTTAGATCTACCTCTTTAATGAGTTCTAGTTCCAGAACTAGCCTACCCCCTCCAATTCCAAACATAATAAATGAAGAAGAATATTGCATTGAAGATAGCAACTTAGATTTTTGAGATTGGAATATTCTAAGAATTCCAAATCGAGAAATTTATGAAACCAGTTTCCTCAAGACAACTTTTTTTAGTGACTACATAGTTAAAACAGTTGAACAAATTTATTCTTTGTCAAAAGAACATGAGAAATGTCAATTACTCACAGCCTAGGCAATCCAAAGACATAGAGATCGAGGATACAATTTCATCCATCTAGGTCTCGTTCAGGTAGCAGTCAAACCATTCACCAATAGAGGACTTAATGCCTCTGTCTTACTAGCTCTTAGAAATGCTAGGTTCCTTGATTACGACCTTACTCTCTTAGGACTTATGGAAACAAGTCTTTGTAATGGCCCGTTCATTTCAATTGCTACCCACATTTGACTCTTAGTTTAAGTGATCTTCACTTATTAAAGGCTTTAACCCTTAATATTCAAACATCAGGTTACCCTATTCTTCTGGGATCTCAGCCCTTAGGTTTGATTTACATAATTTATTACAACACAATTAAAAGCAATCTTAATGTCAAAACAGTTAAGAAAGACATAAAAGGCCGTACCCTTTTAATTGAAAGTAGTACTCTTGATGCTAATATTTAAATCAAGAAAACAACTGCCTGGAAAGACATTTCGTTGCCCAACGAATGGATTCTCCACAATGAAAATCATCCGGTTAAGATAAAAAATGATATATGTAATCTTGAAAGAGTTCAAGAATTTATTGACGGAACAATCAGAATAAGTTTCAATGAACAACATCTCTTGACTCGCTCTCGTCCTTCCGCTTCATACGATAGATCAGATCATGGTTTATTGGAAAGAGAAAGTGAAGTTCCTCCTCTAGATAGAAAAAATTCAAAACTTAATCCACGATTCAAGGATGTTAAGTTAAAGGGTCGTAAGATCGAAGAACAAGCGAACCATCCTTGTTATATACACACTGCCAAATCTAAATCTACACCAAATTCTCCCACACCTTCTGATTTTATTGGAAATCTCAACACCATTAACCCATAATTAAATACCATCAGTAAACAATTTAAGTATGATCTCTCCAGATTACATGACGGACACTCATCCCCTAACAATAAAGAAAAAAGAAGAAATTTTTGACAATCTCATACTAACAGACAACAACATAAAATTCTTCGCATAGGCAACAGTTCATGATAGAACACAAGATAGAAATTCATTTCTTTAATTATCTTGAAAATTATCATAACAAAGTCAATGTCTTGACAAAAGTTAACTAGAAAAAATCTACACAACAGTTTCTTCTTCCCATCTTCCATTAGAATCTGTGATCCTCGATCAAATGGGAACTGAAGTCACTGCTTCTCCCCTAAAAGGCAGCAAGACCTCCGACCCAGACACCAGAAAAATAATTGAACAAAACAATTTTACAAATCAGTATTTACACACCATTGGTATTCAACTTGATAACATTGAACTTTCCTTAACCAAACCCACAATACCACATGAAAAACCCACTATTCTCCCTATTGAAAAACCCCTCATTTCTATGCCTGCACATAGAAAAGGACTTCTAGCCGCCTTGCCTGACTCTTCTATTGTTCCCCAGATTGAAACCGTACTCAAAACCCTTAAATAGGAAAAGCTAAAATTAAAGATGAAAAAACTATCACTGTTATCACCCACAATGATGATTCTGATAGCTCCTTTTCACCTTTGATTACACCTCTGAAATTCAAGCCATTGAAAATGTTTTCTCTAATTTCAAACTCAATCGTATTGCTCATAAACGAGTTAACCCTACCAGCCTCACAAAAAATTGGTACCCTAGACCAACTCCTCCAGATATTCAATATGAAGAATAAAACATCCAAAATCAATTTTCTGTCTATTCTGATAAACTCTATGAATGGAATATATATGGTTTATTTGAACAGGAAATTCTGAACAAATTAAATCATATATCTATGGTGGCTAACAATTATGTCACCTCCCACGATCTTAGTCAGCCTATTGTTGATTTACTTACATTGGGGTCCACGAGTATATTTAAATCTTGGTGGGAAAATCACCTCACTGAAAATTCTCGTGAAAAAAATAAAAAATGCTATCCAAAAAGACAATAATGGAATTCCTATCTTTGATGAAACTATAGGACGTGGTGTTCCCGATGGCGTCAATACACTTATTTACACCATAGTTGAACACTTCATAGGAACTCCAAGTAACATTACTGCCAGAATACATGATCAACTTACCAATCTCACTTGTCCAACCATGAGTGACTTTCGTTGGTATAAAGATGTATTCTTGTCCAGAGTAATGATCTGGGAAGATAGTAATAAACCATTTTGGAAAGAAAAATTCATTAATGGTTTACCCAATCTTTTTGCTCACAAAATTAGAGAAACCCTTAT